ATGTCTTGGTTTATGGCCACATCCAGCAGTTCTCAGGGCTGAGTCTTGGCTCTGTGCTCAGAGGTGACTCCTGACAAGAGCTTGGGAGGCCTCATGGAATACCAGAGATGGAACCTGGGTCGGGCATATGTCGGGCACATCTCTCTAGTTCGTGGCGCTAGTTTTGAAAGTTCACCTAGAACCTAGAGAAGCAAATACGAAAAAGATGAAAAAATGGTCACTTGACCTTGGAATCCTGCATTTTCAGTTTCAGATTCTTAATGGACACTGTGAAAAGAGGCCATGGTCATTAGTTATCACTTTCTGAATAATACAAACCAGTGTCTCTCTCTCTCTCTCTCTCTCTCTCTCTCACACACACACACACACACACAAACACACACACACACACGTGCAAACTTTGTTTTTTAGTTTTATTTGGATCATGGTGAGATACCAACACCCATCCCTTCAACTGTGCACATTTCCTGCCACCAATGTCTGCAGTTTTTCTCCTGACCCCCACAACCTGCCTCTATAGCAGGCACTTCTCTCCCTCTCTCTCCGCCTCTGGCCCCCCACACCACCACTACCGTTTCCCTTTTTTTTTTCTTTTTGGGTCACACCTGGAGATGCACAGGGGTTACTCCTGGCTCTGCACTCAGGAATTACTCCTGGCGGTGCTCAGGGGACCATATGGGATGCTGGGAATTGAACCCGGGTTGGCCGCATGCAAGGCAAACGCCCTACCCGCTGTATTATCATCCCAGCCCCCCCTCCATTTCCCTTTTAGACACTGCTGTTTGTAATACTGTTACTGAAATGGTATCATGCACATCCCTTTTCTTTCTTGCAGCACTTAGCTCTTCAGAGTGATCATTTCCAACCATCATACACATATCTTTGTTAATATTGTGGCCCTAGTGCTACATGTATACCTGATACCTCAAATAACCAGATTTTGCAATTAAGGATAGTCTTCTAAGTACATACTTTTCATTCAGAAGGTCCAAGTTCCACCACCAACACAACATGGTCCGTCAAGCACCACTCAGTACAGGTCCCCACCCCAAACACTATAAAATACAATGTAGAAGGGTAGTTTTCTTTTCTTTTTTTTTTTTGTGGGGGGGGGGGGGGTCACAACCAGTGATGCTCAGGGATCTCGGCTCTGCACTCAGAAATCACTCTGGGCCTCTGGGCAGTACTCAGGGGACCCTATGGGATGCCAGTGGGTAGGGCTGTGCTCTCTCCAAGCCCTAGTCTTACATTTTTGAGGAATCTTCATTGAGGATAAGCAGAAACATTCCCATCTACAGTGAAGGAGGGTTCCTCTCACGCCATCCCCGCCGACACTGGCTGCTTCCAGTCTTTCATATATGCCAGTCTCAGTGATGTGAACGATCTCACTTTTGATATGCATATTCCTTGGAAGTGACAGTGAGCATTTTTTTTTTTTTTGCTTGTCTGCTGACTTGTCTCTAAGTCGACTTAGGGCAAGTGTCTATTCATCTCTTAAATTTTTTGTTGTTGTTGAGCTTTGTTCTGTGCTTTATAAGTCCTGGAAATTAGCCCTTTATAGAATGTATGGTGTGCAAGTATTCTCCCATTATGTCAGATGTTTTGATTGTAGTTTGTTTCTTTTGCCATGCGAAAACTTTTTTGTGTAGTCCCATTTATTTTCATTTTGTTAAGCATATATTTTATTTGTTAAAAGATTGGGCAAAGAAAACAAAATTAACTCACATTTACAAGTACTACTGTCCACATAAAACTATAAAACCAAGCTCCCGGAAGAGAACAACACAGAGTCTCCTGCCCCCACGCCTGGCTGTCCTCACCGGGGCCTCTGGAGGGGGGCAGGTTGAGTTTCCCTGGAGGGGGGCAGATTGAGTTTCCCTCTCCGCCCCGAGCAGAGCCCTGGCTGCTGAAGACCTCCGGGACCCAGACACAGCCATGCTGAGACCACTCTCCACATGCTAGGATGAGCCTCACGCATGAAGGAACTGGCAGAGAAACCCAGGTGTGCGAGACCTGGGGCTGAGATCGCCAAGCCTGCTCAGTTCGGGACTGGGCCTCCTCCACCCAGATCCCTCATCTTCCAGTAGCTAGACAGTTACACCCACCGTCATGTAACCCATCAACAGCCAAGATCCAGAGACTATAAAACCAAGCTCCCGGAAGCACATGGCTACATTCGTGGTTGTCTGACCTCTTATTGTCTGGTTCTTGCTCTCAGAGAACACAGCAGGCTACAAGTATCCTGCCCGCATATATGCCTGACTGGGCACACCTGAAAAGGTGATTAGAGGCTGCCCCAAAACGTTCCATCCCTCTCAGAGAGCCCGGCAAACTACTGAGTATCCCGTCCACATGGCAGAGCCTGGCAAGCTACCCGTGACACACTCGATATGCCAAAAACAGTAACGATGGTCCTCATTCCCCTGACCTTGAAAGAGTCCCCAATATGCCATCGGGCTACACTAGCACGTGACAGGGACAAATAAAGATGTTACTGGTGCCCGCTCGAGCAAATTGACGAAGAACGAAGTGATAGTGATAGTGACTGTCCACATAAAAGGGCGCACTTGCAAATTTGCTGCATTTAAGAATGGTAATCAAAACCATAGTTAGGAAAAAGAAAATTTTTATTTACAAAGATACATAACAAAACATAAAGGAAATGGGAACTAGGAGCAAATCTAACACAAGATATTCAAAAGCTTCACAAGAAAATTCTAAGAGGTTAAAGAACTAAACAGACAGGTTATCTCTGAGAAAGATTCAATAGATGAAGTTGTCTGTTACCACGAAGTTATCTATTTGAACGCAAATGCAACTTGAGTCTGAACAGAATTCTTCAAAACCTGGCAAGGTTTTAGTTCCAAAATGGCACAGAACAAACTGCCAAATCATCCTTAGTGAAGAAACTTGGGGTATGGAAAGTGCCAGGGGAGGGAGAGGCACTTGCTTAAACCAAGACTTTCTATCAAACCACAGAAATGTGGATATTTGGTATTGGCACTAAGAGAAACAATATACTAACACAACACTAAGCCCATGAAACTAAACCTGCACAAACACAGAAATTCACACACAGAAGTGGAGTTGTAGGTCACCAGGGAATATGTCACTCATCCATGGGCTTTGGTTCTACATATACATCTGAAAGAGTTCCTTTGTTTACCTGCATTACACCATATATACAACACATGTAACAATTCAATATGGAGTAGAGATTTAAGTGTTTTTTTTTAAAAAAAAAACCAAGCTTTATAATAACTTTGAGTATATAGAATCTTTTAAGAATTTCTTGAACAAAATATAAAAAGCTGAATACACAGAAAAAAGACTGATTGACATTAAACTTAAAAAAAAAATTCTGCCTAAAATACATAACCAAATTCTATTTGGGGGCAGGGCAGGCTTCCGAAGCAGGTTTTATGAAGTCTGGGTGCCCCCACCAACAATTCTCAGCCCACCAAACAGGGAGGCAGACAACGTAATTCTACACAAAAACCTACGCCTAACTTCCAGCTTACAGAAAACAGACAGACTGAAAGACAGTGTGAAGACACTACAAATAAATCCAGAGAATGGAACACTCTACAGAGCAACTGGTGTGAACTCATCATAAAGTCAAGGTTATTTAAAAAAAAAGAGAGAGGGAAGGAAAAGAGGAATGAAAATAGAAACCTTTCCAGATTGAGAATAAAAAGGAAAACACAATGAGTGAAACTTGAGCCTAGATTTAAAAAAAAAAAAAATCAAGGGCTAGAGCAATAGTATAGCAGGCAGGGTATCCCATATGGCTCCCCAAGCCCCGCCAGGAGTGATGTCTGAGCAGTCAGGAGTATCCCCTGAACATCACCAGGGGATGTTCAGGGGATATCATGGCTCAAAAACCAAACAAACAAAACCAACACATAAAATGACATTTTGGGACCATTGGGAAATCATTACAGAGATCACGTAATTATACAGGATTATTATTTTCTTAAGTGTGATACTTGTAGTTTATACAGAGTACTTGCTTTTTTAGACAATGTAGTGAAATGCCGAAAGTTGTTCAATGCCATGGTGTTTTTTTCCCCTTTGGGGTGGGGTCAGAGGTCAGCCCACACCCTACTGTATTCAGGAGACCCCTGCCTATGCTGGGGGAACATAAACAGTCCTAGACATACACAACACCACTGCATTACCTCCTGTTCACTCTCTGGGCCCATGTGAGCTTTTCACACTGTTTGATGCTACTGTTCAGTCTGGACGGAATGGACTGAGAGGTTCATTGTGCTTTTCTGTGTATAAAGTTTTTCATATTGAAGAGATTTGGGAGCTTGAGAGATCGCTCAAAGGGATGAGCACATGCTCTGCATGCCAGAGACTGGGGGTTTGGTCCTGCACCAAGGGCACACACAGTTCCTCTGGGTCTTCCTTTAACTGACTAGTAGAGCACATGTGTGAGGAAAGGAAGGTGGGAAAGGACCGCCAGAAAAACGCCGAACTCAGGGGCCCACATCCACTTCAGAATCCGCTTGTTCCCAACAGCCAGAGTGGAGAATCTTGCGACAAAGCAGGCACAGGGAAGACTACTCTCAGGGCTAATGAGAGAGGCCTGGAGTTTTTATTGTCCTTCCTTAATTTTCAAAGAAAGCTTTTCTAGGAGGAACAAGCTACCTTCAGTAACAGGCCCCAGAACCAATCATAATATCTGAAGATATACAAAAAACGCCAGCACCCAACAGCATAAAATCCAAAAACCACAAAGCATGCAAATAACAACCTCATGATATGGGAGGGTGGGGGGGGGGGGGGGCAATGAACCAACAGCAATGGATGAGAACTGATTCCAGTAATAACATGTCTAAGTAAAATAAAGTTATTATAAATATTGATGTTCCTAACCTCGAGGAAAGGACGAGACATTTAAAAAAAAAGGCAATAAAAAAAAAACCTGCAATCTCTGAAAATTTGAACTATTGAATGCATATGCATATAGCAGCAGGGGTTTGGGGGGCAAACACAGAAGGAATCATGAGAAAATGAGCTCTTTTAGTAGAAAAGATTTATGAACTTACTATCAATATGGAACACAGAGAGGAAAAACAACAAGCAGAAGACAGTTGGAGTGTGCTCTCTGTAATAGCTTCAAGTGGTGGAACAAACAAGTAACTAAGAGTTCCAGAGAAAAGGAGAGGGGGAGAAAAAAGTAAAAACCAAAATTCTAAATCTGATAAAGACCACAAACCCACAAGTCCTGCAGAACAGGGAGGAAAAAATACAAGCAAGCACATCACAAAAATTGCTAAATACCAGGGGTAGGAAAAAAGTAATCTTAGAAGTAATCTTCAAATCTTGAAAAAGGTAACAGTAGTCTTCCTGCTGGAAATCAGTAAGATACCACTGACTTGCCAAAAGATCAGCAAAATCAAAGTCTAACATGAAGTGTTGAAGGGCGTGTGAAGCAGAGGTACTAACTCAGTGCCAGGAAGGGTAAAAAAATGACACAGCCACTGTACAAAAGAAGCTGGCATCATCTTGTAAAGATGAAATATCCAAACCTCATGACAAGCAGTACCACTCAGCACAGCATTGTTTGCAATAGCAAAAACAAAAATAAACAAACCCCAAATGTCCATCAACAGAAGAATGGATAAATTGTGGTCTATTCATGTAATACTATACAGCAATTAAAAAAAAAAAGATGACTCAAAAACACTAAGCTGAATAAAGCAGGTCACAGAGGCGAACATATAATATACCATTTATATAAAATTCAAAAACATAGGAAACTTAACACTTTACTTAGGGACAGATACATATGTTGCAAAACTACAGTAACAAGAAAACAACACAAATAATCAAAATAATTATTTGAAGAGAAGATACATGGGACTTCGAAAGTGAAGGCGATATTCTATTTCTTAAGCTGGCTGAACACAAAGATATATATATATATACATATTTATTTATACTTTTTGTCTGCTAATGTTCTGGGAGTCAAACAGGAGGGAGGGGGGTGCCACAGTAGGACATGTGGTACGGGGTTCAAATCGAGGGTCCTGCACATGCCCCAGCCTCTTACTTTTCTTTATACCTTTGACACACTTGCTTGTGCATTTTCATAGTTACGCAATAGTTCCTTTTTAAAAAAGTGAAAAAATGCGAAAGACCTGAAAAATGGAGACTCTTACATCTAACAATAAGACTGTAGAAAATGTATACAAAGGAAATGTTCCACTGCTCCTCTCCTTTGAGCCCGCTACAAATCAGTATTAGTCTACAGGGCCAGGCCCCGAGGGGGACAGACAGAGGCAGTGGACCCGCACGGGGGGACCACCGCGAGCACTCCTGCCCGGCTCCTGCTCATCTGTACTTGGACTTGTCTTTATCTTTGGATTTCTTGGGACTCCTGCTTCGGTCTCTCTTTTTGCTCCTTTCCCTCTCGTAGGTGTCGGCTTGGTGCTTGGACTTGTGACTGTGACTGAAGTGGCCGTCCCTTTCTCGGGACCGGCTCCGGCTCCGGTGCTGCGGCCGGTCTCTCTTCTCGCTCTTCTGCTTCTCCCAGCAGCTCTCTTCTTCTTCGTAGTGGCCGAACCCCATCTCCCTGTAGATGTCCTGCCAAAGGAATGGAAAGAGTTGCGAGTGCCATCAGCAAGATGATCATTAACAAAGAACTAGACAAGCCCACCATTGATGGCAGTTTTTAATGTGAATGCTGTCACATATGCCAAGAATCTTCTAAATTTTAAAAACTAGGGGAGAGTGATAGTACAGAGGTTAGGGCATCCAGGTTTGTTTCCCAGCACCACCTAAGGTTCCTGGAGCCCCGTGAGGAGTGATCCCCGAGCGCAGAGCCAGGAGTAAGCTCTAAGTACTGCTGGCTGTGGCCCAAAAGCAGAAAAAAAAAATTCAGATAGAGATCACTTTTCTTATTGATCTTAATGCTTTGTATCCACTATTTCAGGTGAACCCAAGGACCAAATCCAAACTGAAAAACCCAACCGAAATGTAAGCAAGGCTTTTAGGACAGTTGCAGTATCAAGACACTACAATATTAGTGTCCCTCACCTGTCTATGTCCCTCCCTTTGACTCTACCCCACCCCAAAAGCAGTTCTATCATTGACCTGGAATTAAAATTAAAATTCTCTATGAATCCTACAAGATAGACATTATTTAAATTGGAAACCACAAAACATTTTGGACCAGTCAATCTAAAATGAAAATATATACTGCATATTTTGGTCTGATTTTTAAGCAGTTAATTCTATGACAATTCCTCTCCAAATTTTCAAATAAACTTTCCTTGGTTTTAGACTATGCTGATGTATTTTCTTTTTTTTCTTTGCTTTTTGGGTCACACCCAGTGATGCACAGGGGTTACTCCTGGCTCATGCACTCAGGAATTACTCCTGGCAGTGCTTGGTGGACCTTATAGGATGGTTTGGGAATCGAACCTGGGTCAGCTGCATGCAAGGCAAACGCCCTACCCACTGTACTACTGCTCTGGTTACAGACTATGCTGATATATTTTCAACAAAATCTTAAAGCAAATTACTTCTCAAAACTGAGTTTAGGAAATGGTAGAACAATCCACTGCTCCAAAGACAATAAAATGAGTACATTCAAGACTACTATTATAAATGAAATAGCAATTTTTCCCAGATGGAAGAGGGTTAGTTAAACAATTCTATTTCTGCTTGCATCCAACCCTAATTACAATTACAATTACAAAGCTGAAATCTAAGAGAGCTGAGCCAATGTGATTTCATGAGATCGTTCCTGGGCCAGAGATAGTAGAGCAGATAGGGAGCTTGCCTTGCACACAGCTGACCTGCGTTCAATTCCTGACACGGCATTTGGTTCTCTGTGCACCACCAGAAGTGAACACTAAGTCCAGAGCCCGGAGGAAGTTCTGGCATACCGGTTATGGCCTAAACCACCCCACCACCCCCAAAAAAGAGTGTCCACAAAATTCAACTTTCTCTTATAGATTCCTCAGAAGAAAGGCCAAACTCTGACAGAACTCATACAGTCCCATTCATCATCTTAGGTATATGATTATAGTTGATGTAAAAGTTAAGGTTTAAAATCCACAATGATGACTACCCAAAGATTAGGATTGTGCTTTAAAGAAATGAGCAATAAGTATTCCATATATTTTCTAGATTCTGTAGTTGAGTGTTTTCTTGGGGAGGGGGTTGTTTTGGCCTCTGGGCCACACCCAGCAGTGCTCAGAGGAGCATACAGTGCTAGGGACTAAACGAAGATTTGCCACATGCAAAGCACGTGATCAATCTACTAAGCTATCTCTCCAACCCTCTGTACATTATTCAATATGGAATCTGCAGAATGAAAATACATCTAACACAATTGCTATATAAACAGTGTTTGTGGGCTACATTATAAACTGGTCCATAATTCTTCACGCAATAATTCTTATTTTTCTGAGACCCTAGAAGAAAATGAGCAGACAGCTTGATTTAAATCTTTACCAACTATTTTCTAGCAAAACATGATATCTCTAAATAAAATTTGGGGGGAGTGGGAGAGACAGTACAGAGGTAAATGCACTTGTCTCACTGACTTGGGTTTGATTCCTGGCACCACATGGTTCCTTCAAGCATGCCTACAGGTTGTCCCCGCACCACTTGAGACATGGCCCAAATCCCCACTGCCCCAAACACACACACACACACACACACACACACACACACTCTCTCTCTCTCTCTCTCTCTCTCTCTCTCTCTCTCTCTCTCTCTCTCTCTCTCTTCTGGGTGCTTCCTGCGGCATATACAAGGGTGTACACATGTACTACTGTATCTATATAGCTAATATTACTTATTTCTGCTTTGACTAAGACAATAACGTTTTAAAATGCAGAGACCATTTGTTCATGTGCAACTCTCTAAAATTTTCAGCACATTATTATACAAATAGGCATTTAAATGCCTTGAGAGTTTAAAATTAGAGGAAACAGGAGGGAGAAAAAGATTAAGCAGTATTTAAATCTTGAAGGGAGGAAGAAAACAAGGAAGCTGAAGACTTGAAACAGAATGAAACCATAAAACCTCTCCTACTTGGCATCATTTTCAAAATCCACAAGCTTTGAAAACAGGCAGCCAGGTTCAAGTGGTCTTTGCAATTTAGGGCATAGTCTAACAAGAGAGCAGAACATGTGCTTAGATTTATCAAAGCGTCACAGAGAAGTCAGAACTTGAGGTTCAAAAGAAGGGTTTATGGGTTTGAATTCAAACTGTAAGAGAGCAGAGAAAGATTCACAGCAAAGTCCAGACCTGAGATGAGCCTCAACAGATGAGTCTGAGGGTTTGAACTGACTGTAAAGTGCAAGGAGTAGTTAAGTAAAAATGAAAAGCAAGGAAGAATCAGCATAGTGCTCATGTAAGAGAAAAAGTTTAGGTCAACAGATTAAAAACTGTATTAAGCAGGGGGCTGGAGCGATAGCACAGAGGGTAGGGCGTTTGCCTTGCACGTAGCCAACATGGCCGACACAGGTTCGATTCCCAGCATCCCATATGGTCCCCTGAGCACCGCAAGGAGCAATTCCTGAGTGCATGAGCCAGGAGTAACCCCTGAGCATCGCGGGGTGTGACCCAAAAAGCAAAAAAATAAAATAAATTTTAAAAAAACTGTATTAAGCAGATCCCCTGTATTAAGCAGACCCCCTAAGTGTGCTGGCAATATTATTCTTGTTCCAGAAATAAGAAACCAGAAGGCTGGGGGCCAGAGTGGCGGGTGTATGCCTTGAATGCAGCCAAACCGGGTTCAACTACATCAACCCATATGGTCCCCCAAGCACCACCAGTAGTAATTCCTGAGTGTTGAGCCACAAGTAACCCCTGAGTACCAACAAGTGTGGCCAAAAAAAAATAAATAAAATAAACAACAACAAAAACAAAACAAAGCAAAAACTGCTCTAGACCATGTCAAGACGCTACAGACATATAACAAGATAAACAACAAATGGTTACATAGGGGAAAAAAACACAATGGCCAATAAAAGCAATCAACTGAATCTAGCAAAAGACCTCACAAAAACAGGGCAAAACAGTCTATACTGAAAGTTAATAATCTTTCTCAGGAATTAAATCAAAGATCTAAATCAAACACTAAGTCAAAGTTTAATAAATAATATTCAATCAGTGAAGCAATAGCAAAAATAGCGGCCCAAATTATAAGAATACTAAACACCTAGAAAGACACAGTGGAAGACTGACAACCGATATAAACACTCCTGAGACAGACAACCCTGCTCAGGACCCTGACCCTGTAACCACAGCGAAACTCAAAGCTCAGCAACACAAGGACCAATCTTTGGAATCAAGTCAAACATTGGGAAAATTAATGCCAGGTCATCAAACCGAACAGTAAAGTTGTTGCTCCATAAAACACAACTTGTAGGGCCAGAGAGAGAGCTCAATGGGCTGAATGCATGAGGCCTGGGTTCAATTCCTGACATTATCAGGCCCCCAAATACCACTGAATAAAGAGTGAGGAGTCACTCCTGAGCACTCCAAAGCAACTTGTAAAAAGCAAATTAAAATATTCTTAATACACTAAGCTAGAAACTGTAACTAAGAGAACCTGAGCAATATCTAGAATTAATCTAGTGCTGAAAAATTCCCTTTACTGAATTTACTTTTTTTGGGGGGGAGGAGGGGGTGCGGTTTGTGGCACACCCAGCGGTGCTCAGGGGCTTATTCCAGGCACTGCACTGAGGAATCACTCCTGGAGGTGCTCAGGAGACCATATACGGTGCCGGAGAACAAACCAAGGTCAGTCACATGCAAGGCAAATACACAACTCACTTAACCGTTGATCGGGTCCCTAAATTTACTTTTGTAGCTATAATCAAAAGCAGCAACCAGAAAAAAAAATCTGTCTCAATAAAATCTAAGAGAATATTGGTATGACTGTATTAAGAGTGTAAAATAAAAATAATTTCCTTCACTATGCTGAGGGGCTAGAGCAATAGCACAGTGGGGAGGGCATTTGCCTAGCAAGCGGCCAACACGGCATACCCGAGTTCGATTCTTCCACCCCTCTCAGAGAGCCCGGCAAGCTACAGAGTATCTCGCCCGCACAGCAGAGCCTGGCAAGCTCCCCGTGATGTATTCGATATGCCAAACACAGTAACAAAAAGTCTCACAATGGAGACGTTACTGGGCCCACTGGAGCAAATCGATGAACAACCGGAGGACAGTGACAGTGACTATGCTGAGGGGAAGAAACGAAGTTAGGTGACTCCTTGAGAATTTAACAGTTTTATAGCTGCCAAGTGACTCAAAATTTTCTTAATGTAACACCACAGGGGAAGGGCGGTAACTACAGCACCAATCCCTGTCACAGGCTCTGAACATTCGAATACCAGCACCACAGACAGGGTCTCCCCAGCAGTTCCTGGTGTGTTCCTCGATGTCAATTTTTAATGCAGATATAGTATTAAATTATATTCTCTGAAAAAAAATTTACATATTTACTGAAAAAAATTTAAGTACAGACTAAACAAAATGGTAAGCGACAGGGAGAGAAAGAAAGGGCAACAAGAGAGACAAACGATGTAGGTTCTCTGCCTGTGCCATCTCGAGTAGACTGTGTGATGTGGCCCCCTAGTAACCCTCACCCAAACCCTGCGCAGGTCTTTGTACACACAAGGCATGCACTCTGGCCCTCTGGAATCTCCCAGTCTTGGGGTGTACAAAATGTTTAAAACTGCAGCACAGAAAAGATTCCATGCAATCTTCCAACATAGGAAAACAGCGCTGATCCTAAATAGGTCTGGAGTTAGTAGGCTGATTTTTTTTTAATGAATTTATTTATTGAATCACTATGAGAACAATTACAAAGCTTCTGGGTTTAAGTCTCGGTCATACAATGATGAACACCTGTCCCTTCACCAGTGCACATTTTCCACCACCAAAAACCCCAGTACACCCCCCCATCCCACACCCTCCCCTTACGTGTGTGACAGATGATTTCCATGCTAATCACTCTCTACTTTGATTACATTCAATATTTTGACACCAGATCCACCATTATTATTTGGGATTTTCCCCCAACACTCAGATCTGCCAAAAGGCAACATTAGACAAATTACTTTGCTTTCTACTGCTGATCATGAATAGCATGATACGATTTTGGAATTCTGAAATTTTCATAATTAAATCTGGAGGGATTTCCACCCAAAGCCACTGGGTTTCGAAATTCACTTGTGTGTCTCTGGGATCATGGCTGTTAAGCAGCTTAATCAGTAGCCAGAGGGCGGCAACTTGGGGGTCTCCTTAGGGTGGGGGAGGACAAGGGCCGGCTCCACCCCTATCCCGAGGCCCCAGGTGTCTCATCACTAGCAGGCTGATCTTAAGCTATTAGGGAACAGTGACTTGTCTGTAACAGGAAAGCTCAAGAGGCTGGACTGCAACCTCAGAATGGAGGAGGCAGGGGCCTAATTCCTGATACTGCTAAGTCTCCTGGGCAAGGTGGGCACCCCACCTCACCCCAGTCCCCCAAAGAATACTAACGTAGAAAATGTCTGCTATCGAGTTTTGTTCTTTCCTTTTCTCAATGTAACAATATGACTGAGTTTAGGTATCATCTCAAACTCAGAAGAGAAACTGTGACTCACTGTTAAGGTCACATGGGTGACGAGCAGGGCAGAAACGGAAATCTCGCCTTTCTGGCAGCAGAGCCTTCAACGCCCACCCACGTCACATCTCTCCACAATGGCCACACATGGCCTCCTCACTGTTCTGAGTTTTCTCTAACCTAGGCCTGGCTCAGATGTCCTCATGTGGTAAGATAAAAGGGCTATAGTGTGATTTATTTTTTTATTTAAATAAGAGACTCTACAGAGACTATGGAAAGATAAGAGTACAAAAGCTCAACAAACTGAAGACCCCACCAACAATACTCTATCCAGCCAGATTATCAATCAGATCTGAAGAACAAAACAGAACTTCATGGATAGGCAACTGCTCGTGGAATTCATAGCCTTGAAGCCAGTTTTGCAAGAAGCATTAAACGAACTTCAAGAACAGGAGAAACTTCCCATCTTGTGGTACTGAATATGGCACTAATGGTTGTCCTCAACTAGATTAAGAAAGGTTAAAAAAAATCAATCATCACAAATTGACTTTATTGATTCATTTTTCAATAATTCTATTTGCCATTTTTAAAAGTTTTTTTTTGACGAAGTAATATGAAATAAATGTATATGCCTGCCAAGGGCAGGTCCAAAAAAAAAAAAAGCTAACCTATGACAGAAAAAATATGATACTTATTGCAGTAAGGTCCAAGTATAAAATAAAATTTAATGCAATTTTAGATACCACAGTTGGAAACTTAGCTATGTAAGTGAGAATATGCATTATACTATATTGTATTAAATAATTTCAATTTCCTTTCAGAGGTTAAAATCATATGCAAATTAATCATTACAAACTGACTTCTCTTGATTTATCTTCTGATTATTCTCTTTGCCATTTCTTTAAGTTCTGTTGGAATAAGCAGTATGAAAATAAATGTTATATGCCTGTTATATGCCTGCAAAGGGGGCAGGCTGAGGAATGTCAGGCACCCTGGGGAGACTGCTGGTGAGACTGGCATTGCAACACTGTATGCCTGAAACAACTCTATGATGAACAGCTTTGTACATCATGGTGTCTTAATAAAAAATAATTTAAAAAAAAAGAGTCAAAATGCAAGTTGAAATAATTTATTCTCTTTATCAGCAATTTTCTTTAAGCCATTGTTGTCCTTTCTTTACGTTTTTTGCAGTGCCAGAGACCAATGCCAGGGCCTCACACATCCAAGCCACACCCCTGGCCGGCCAATTTTTTAGTGTCTTAGAAAATGTGTTGCTCAAGGGTCAGAGCTATAGTACAGCAAGGAGGGCACACATTTTGGACACATCTGAACCGGGTTCAACCACCAGCATCCCATACAGTCCCCTGAGCCCTGCCAGGAATGATTCTCTAGTGCACAGCCAGGAGTAACCCTTGAGCACCATCAGTTGTGGCCCAAACCCACCTCCCACCCAAAAAATAAATAAGTAAAAAGTATTGTTCAGGTTTTCGCGACAGCACAGCTATAGGGCGTTTGCCTTGCATGCAGCCAGCCCAGCCGAGCCGGGTTCGATTCCACCGCCCCTCTCAGAGAGCCCGGCAAGCTACCAAGAGTATCTTGCCTGCACGGCAAAGCCTGTCAAGCTACCCGTGATGTATTCAATATGCCAAACAAGTAACAAGAAGTCTCAAAATGGAGATGTTACTGGGCCCACTCAAGCGAATCGATGAACAACGGGAAGACAGTGACAGTGATTGTTCAGGTAAATCTAGGAGTCGATCAAGCTAATTATCAGTGCTACTTTTATTTCATACATACAATCAGTAAGCAGGGCATAAATGTTTCTAGATCCTAAATACTCAACAACTACAAATGTGGTACATAAGACTTCATCAGTGGTGGTGGAGAATGGGCACTGTTGGAGGGATGGGTGTTTGATCACTGTATGACTGAAACCCAAGCACAAAAATTTGTAAGTCTACAACTGTACCTCATGGTGTTTCACTAATAAAAAGTTTTTAAAAAATAAAATAAAATTAACATAAAGGAGTATTTTTTAGCACAGTAACAAAATTAATTCTTTTGTTTCTATGCTTTGGGCCTTGGCAAGCCTCGCTTACTACATGGGACCAAACTCAGTGCCTCACACAAGTAAAGCATGTGCCCTACCACTTGGTATCTCCCTGGCCCCTCTATTTATAAGCTAGTCTCCATAGGTAAAGAAATCACTGCTGCTTCTCAGCATGGGCCATATTAACTAACTTCAAAAACAATGTTAAAAAATTTGTGATATAGTCTTTTGTGGGAAAGGGGGTTGGGCCACAGTCCGAGGTGCTCAGGGCTCACTCCTGTCTCGTGCTCAGGAGACCGTATATGGCGCCGAGATCAAAGCAGGGTTAGCAAACACTTCACCCATGATAGCTCTCCAACTCCTTTGACAATTATTCTTGAAAATCAAAGTCCACTGCCCTACTGAAATGCTGTTTTGAATTTGGAGCATACCCACCTCTTTCAGAAGAACATATTTACTCCCTAAATTACAACCCTGATATGTAATTAACAACAACAAAAAAAAAAAAACATTCATTTCTCTGCAGTGAACTCTGGACATTAGTAAAGTCCTGTACCTGATTGGTATTTTTGATTGGCATGTAGTCCTCATCTTCTTTTTCTTCAGAGCAGTGACGAGTTTTCTTCTTATGCTTTTTACTTGTGTGTGAGTGACTTGACTTTGAGTCCTCCCCCTGCTCATCTAATATTAGATCGTATTTTGCGCTGTAGAGACTAGCTAAGGATAAACGAGGTAACTGATGACGGTAAAACATTATAACTAATACACATCTGGTAAAACAAAGGAAGCCATGAGGCTCAAATGTAGCTTCATAGCCCCCCCCCCAAAAAAACTCACAAAGATAGAATAAGTAAAACATAGAACTGGGGAGATAGTACATGATATAATGTGCTCAGTCAGGTGCACCCTTGGGCACTGCTGGGTGTAGGCCCCCTCACCCAAATTGGTGAAAACATCATACTGATACCAGTTATGATTTAAATTTTAATGAACTGAAATTAAACCAAAGTTTAACTTTCACCCCACAGTTAATTACATAGCCCTATGAATCACAAGTGCTTAGTAGCCCACACAAGGCAGTAGAGACATACCACTTTCACTAGAAGACTAAAACCTGACTCACAAATATGCCAAATTTCCTTTTTAAACTCTTAGTACTCTATATCTGGAACTCAGAGCATTTTAATCCCCTGCAGTTTTTCTTATCACCCACAGTTACCTCCACTTTCTGCTCTAAGAATATACTTCCTTTCATGTGTCCTACACGTACTCCTCCAATGGCAGTTACAAGTGGACAGTCTTCATTTAATTTCAAAAATTTGGCAAGTAAACAAAATCTCAGGTCTACTTTTTTATGATTCTAAGATCTCACCCACACTCCCCTAATTTTCATCTTTCAGATCAAATCTTAGTTTACTACTTGGTCTGTCTGTGTATGAAGTCTCCATGTTCATTAAGTCAGTGTACTTCAGACATTTCCTGCTCCAACACCAGCAATGCCTAATGCATTACACACAGTCTATACTTTTTCTATAGTGAATATGTAACAGAACAATCCGAGAGGCTGAAGACATAGTGCAGTGAGTAAGGTGCTTGTATTCTAGGTGGCCTTCCTGGGTTCAGGAGGGGGGAAAAAAAAAAAAGAAACAAAAATCAACCTGATAGTCATCTTTCCTTGATGAATACTTAAAAAAGTATGTCTATAGTGACTGGAAAAAAAGATTACTAAAATGTCAAAGAAGCTAGGAAAAGAAACCTCTTAACTTCAGAAAGAATCACAGGACAAAAATACCTCTGCATTATATAGTGTGATAGACTTATAATGAGAAAAATCAGTAAAAAGAATTAAAAGACGGGCTAGAGCAATAGCATAGCGGGTAGGGCGTTTGTCTTGCATGCGGCCAACCTGGGTTCAATTCCCAGCATCCCATATGGTCCCCCGAGCACTGCCAGGGGTGATTCCTGACTGCAGAGCCAGGAGTAACCTCTGTGCACTGCTGGGTATGACCCAAAAAGAAAAAAAAAAAGTTAAAAGACACCAGTATGTTTCACTGTTTCTTATCTTCACCTTGTAAGACCCTAAGTTAAACGTCAGTGAATTTCTTTTTCAATCCAGTAAAAGTCAAGTCTTGAGCTAGAGCCAAGTACAGCCAGTAAGGCACTTGCCTCGCACGCTGCTGACCTGGTTCAATCCCTAGAATCATATATGGTCTCCCAAGCACCACCAGGAGTGATCCCTGAGCATAGAGCCAGGAGTAAGCCCTGAGCACTGAGTGTAGCACAAAAAAAACAAAACAAAAAAAGTCACCTCTTGCACACAACAGGAGTCCAATAACAGATCGACAGACTACAAAGACTGTAGCACTGTCCTCCCGCTGTTCATCGATTTGCTTGTGCGGGCACCAGTAACTTCTCTATTGTGAGACTTGTTGTTACTGTTTTTGGCATATCCAATATGCCACGGGGAGCTTGCCAGGCTCTGTCATGGCGGGTACTCTCGGTAGCTCGCCAGGATCTCCGAGAGGGATGGAAGAATCAAACCCAAGGTCAGCCGCATGCAAGGCAAACGCCCTACCCACTGTGCTATCACTCCAGACTTTTCTTACAAAGAAAAGTAAGAAAACCATAGGATTTTGCTATCTATATAGCCATCATTTCCAAAGAAGTTAAACATACAAACACTGGTCACAAAAGACTTGGCTTAACTATAATAAGGAAATTTCTCTAATGAGAAATTTAAGACATTACAGTTACATAAAAAACTATAAATCATATCTGAATATTAACCTCAAGAATAGAAAGCATTGGGGCCAGACAATCAGCACAGCAGGTTGGGCTCTCGCCTTGAACCTGGCCAACCCAGGTTCAATCTCCGGCGTCCCGAATGATCCTCCAAGCCCACCAGGAGTGGTTCTGAAGCACAGAACCAGGAGTAATCCTGAACACCACTAGGTGTGGGGCCAAAACCAAGAACAACGATAGAGTAGAAAGCACATAAGAGCCTATAGAGCAGAGAGTACACTGCTAGACAATATAGTGGGCTACTCAGAGGTAAGCCCTGAGCACTGTTTGGTGTGCAAACCCCACCCCTACACACCCCCTCCCCAAAAGTAGACACCAAATAAAATTAAAACAAAAGAGGAGGGACCTAAAAGATACTAAAAGGCCAGGGGGATGCTCAAAGGAAGGGCTAGCGTGCATGTTCGGCATGAGGGAAGCCCAGGTCTGACCCCCAAGCACTGAGCCAGCAGTGGTTCCTGAGTACTGTTGTGTGGCGCAGAATCAAAACATAATGATACTGAAGACAATTTTCAACACTTTTTTTTTGCTTCTTAGGTCATACCCATTGATGCTCCTGGCTCTGCAACTCAGGAATTACTCCTGGCAGGGCTCAAGGGACCCTCTGGGATGCTGGGGACCACACACGGGTCGGCCACGGGCAAGGCAAATGGCTGCCCCGCTGGACTATCGCTCTGGCCCCAATTTTATTTTTCACTTTTAACTTTCTCCACACCACAGAAAAACCAACAAAGAGGCAAAGAGCATGTGAGAGAGAGAACAATATACTACATGACATTTTACAAAGCACCAGGAGTTAGGACCCTGAGTCTACACATGACGTATCACACAGCACTCTCCAGGCTGACCGACACACTGAGTGGTCTTGTAAAGGATACTCCTGTTTGGGCTTTACTTTATCTTTCAGAACCAAATTAGATGGTTTATCTTGTTCCTTTTCATACTCCTTGAAATCACTCTTGGTATATTTTCCACCTAATGAAAAAAGAAGTTAAAAAAAAAATCACCTAATTGATCAAAAGCAACAATCTATAAAACATGTAATATATGAGAGCTATTTTTATAGATGGCATATATTATCAGGGAACAGAAGAAAAGACTGAGAACAACAAAATCATCTTAATTCATCTTCTATTACCATTTTAACTGAAATTAGATACCCATTTATGTAACCATATGCTGCCACCTAACGGTATATGCGAAGATTACAACACCAAATTTTCAAATGACAGACTGAAAACTGCAATATTTTAGAAAAGCCATTAAGTCCTGAAGAACATTAGGTCCAGAGGAAATTGAGGGCTTGGGATCTGGAGTCTCAGATCTGAAAGAGTTTGCAGTTTTCAAGTAGAAACACTGAAATCCTCTGATCTGTCGAAAGAGAACTGCCAAACACTGGATGATTTCACTTATCTGTGGTATGTAGAGAAACAAACAAGGAAAGGGCCCCTATTTCTGGTAGTTTCTGAGCACACAACTGAAATGACCAAGTAGCAGGGGGGTGGAAAAGGAAGAGGCAAGAGGCAGACTTGAAATGACGTAAGGAGTGTGGTGGAGGGTGGTGGGCACTGGTGATGGTGAGGTCTAGTAATCTTGCACAACAAAACCACACAAGCTATCACTACTGCAACAGACACGTAACCTAAAACACAATTTTAAATGAAGTATGTATAAAACACTCTACATAACTGTGAACAAGTAAGCTAATGGAGGAAAGACCTTACGAGAACAGTGGAGATAACGTCTTGACTTCCTACAAAAGAGAACTGCTGTAGCAGTACTGCAAATAGCACTGTAGCACTGTCCTCCCATTGTTCATCGATTTGCTCAAGCGGGCCCAGTAACGTCTCCATTGGAGACTTTGTTGTCACTGTGTTTGGCCTATCGAATACATCACGGGTAGCTTGCCAGGCTTTGCCGTGCGGGCGAGATACTCTCGGTAGCTTGCCGGGATCTCCGAGAGGGGCGGATGAATCGAACCCGGCTCGGCCAAGCTGGTGGCTTGCAAGGCAAACACCCTACCGCTGTGCTATCACTCCAGCCCTACTGCAAATATAAAGAAATAATCTCAGTACTACTGAAAACTCTCATACTCAAAAAGAAAACCTGACGAGCGAGACTCTGAAGAGAGTCCGGGAGTTGAGGCGCGCGCACGCCGTGCATACAGCTGCCCCTGGTTCCACCCCTTGGAACTTGTTCCCTGAGCAGCACCAATGCAGCTGTGGAGGTCAGGGAGCACCAAAGGGGCAGCCTGGGGATCCAGACATCTGTTGGTCCTTGCAATAAACCTCTGGCCACCGGCCAAGAATCGCAGGGCAAGATGTTAAATATAATGCAGACATACACTGACATCTCCCTCGTCTGGGATACTAAAGAGCAACTATGCAGAATCAGAAACTGTAGGCATTACATCAATGACTGTTTATCCTAAGTCAAAAAGGAAAAAAAGCAAGCAAAGAAAAAAATAAATGAAGCAACGTACCTTTTCCCTTCCACTTAACTTTTGCAACTGACTGGCTAAAATCCACATGTATTCTTCGGTCGTCTATAAGCACATTGTCCATTTTGAAGAAAGCTTTTTCACAATCTTCTTCCTAACAGTAATTACAAAAACCCAAGAATAATAAAAGCACTCTTAAAATTCATTTAAAAAAACCAACAAGGGGGCTGGAGTGATAGCACAGTGGTAGGGCGTTTGCCCTGCATAAGGCCAACCCAGGTTCGATTCCCAGCATCCCATACGGTCCCCCAAGCACTGCCAGGAGTCATTCCTGAGTGCATGAACCAGGAGTAACCCCTGTGCAACGCCGGGTGTGACCCAAAAAGCCAAAAATTTTTTAATAAATAAATAAGTAAAAATTAAAAAAAACCAACAATAAACCTACAAAAATAGATTTCTGTAGCCAGAATACAGAAAATACAAAGTTTATCACTCAAGCACATTTAAATGTTTGTTATGTGCCAAGTGCTACTAAATGCTTGGGATTTACTATCCCCAATTAACTCTAATAGCAACTCTGTGACACTATTTCTCAAGAAGAAAACAGGTTTAGAAAGGTACATATGAGGCAGGAACCATACTACAGCAGGTCAGGTGCTAGCCTTGCACACAGCAGACCTGAGTTCAGTCCCCAGCATCCCACATAGTCCTCTGAACACCACCAGGAGTGCAGAGCCAGGAGTAAGCCCTGGGCACTGCTGGGTGTGGCCCCAAAACCAAACAAACAAAAAACAATACCAAACACCAAAGCTAATACCTGTATTTATACCTTACCTTCTCAAATTCAATAAAAGCATAACATAGAGATTCTCCTGTCTTCCAGTCACGGATAACTTCACAACTGCAAGTTTGAAATTAAAGAAAAGGCATTCACTTTTACTATTCAAAAATGAAAAAGAAAATGAAGAGTTAAGGGGCAAAGAAATTTAAGTTCATTAAATCACATTTCTCCAAATGGCATCAATAATACTTATTCTACTCTAAGTATACTATTTAGAGTTATAGTCTTAAATTCCTGAAGTATGAAAAAAATATTAAATGTTTTTTGGCAACCATAAATTAAAAGTAAATCCCAACCTTCCTTAGTGGCAAGAAGTCAGTATATGAAGTATCTGTAAGTGAAAAATAGAAAGAATAGGGGAATAGAGAGCTAGTACAGTGGGCAGGGCATTTGCCTTGTAGGCAGCGAACCCAGATTTGATCACCAACACCCCATATGGTCTCCCAAGCCCTGTCAGGAGTGATCCCAGAGAGAAGAGCCAGGAGTTAGCCCTGAGCACTGGAGGATGGAAAGGGGGGGAAGAGAGGTAGAGAAGGTCGGGAGAGAGAAGAGGGAGAGAGGGGGAGAGAGAGAGAGAGAGAGAGAGAGAGAGAGAGAGAAGAGGAGAGAGAGGGAGAGGGACAGAGACAGAGAGAGTACAAACTAGCAATTTTTTAAAGTATGATATATACTGTTTTGTCATGATTTTGACTAGATCCTTGTTCAGTATTTATATTTTATTTTATATTCAAAATCAGGGCCGGGGGGTTTGAGGCTCTACGTATTCCTGGAGAGAGCAGATGCCATTGGGCTACACTAGCACGCAACAGGGACGAATGGAGACATTACTGGCACCTGCTCAAGCAACTCGATATCAACGGAATGACAAGTCATACAAGTGATATATTCTGAGAAAAGGGATAAAGTTGGATAGGTATTTAATTTTTTTTTCTTCAATGATATTACTGTAGCACAGTCTTCCCGTTGTTCATTGATTTGCTTGAGCGGACCCAGTAACGTCTCCATTGTAAGACTTGTTGTTACTGTGTCTGGCATATCGAATACCTCACGGGAAGCTTGCCAGGCTTTGCTGTGCAGGCGAGATACTCTTGGTAGCTTGCTGGGCTCTCTGAATAACACCGAATCATACTTAAACCTGTTGCATTCACTTACTGTTACTTTGTTTTTGAGTTTGGGGGCATACCCAGTGGTGCTTAGAAGCTACTGCTAGCAGTGCTCAGGGGACCAAATGTGTATAATGCCAGAGACTGGACCAGGGTCGACTGCACATAAAGCAAGCCCCTTAACCCCTGTACTATCTCTCTGCCCACTCACTCTCTATTTTGTGCTGCATGTAGAAAAATCAATTCAATTATGCATATATATTGATATTTACTTATCTACACAAATACACTTTTCTTCCTACTGTCCAAAAGACTTAACACATTATGCCCACACAAAATTAAATTTTCAGATTCATCAAAAATGTCATTAGCTGCAGAGCCCAGCAGCTTGCGGCAGAAAAGTGAATGGACTATGTGTTAATCCATGGCACCATGCCTGCCCGGGAGGGAAGGGGTGTTGCTCCCTTCTGCCTTTTTCCCCCTGGGCAGCAAGATGGCTGCCTCCTCAGATCTTTTTTTTTTTTTTTAATTTTTATTAGTGAAACACCATGAGGTACAGTTGTAGACTTACAAATTTTTGTGCTTGGGTTTCAGTTATACAATGATCAAGTACCCATCCCTCCACCAGTGCCCATTTTCTACCACCACGGGTCCCAGTATCCCTCCCACCTCCCATCCCTCCCATCCCACCCTGCCTCTGTGGCAGGGCACTCCCTTTTGTTCTCTCTCTCCTATTGGGTGTTGTGGTTTGCAAAAGAGGCATTGAGTGGCAATCATGGGAGAAGCATGCTGAAAGTAGACTATAGACCAAACATGATTGTCACTCAATCCTCGGAGCTTTCTGGAAAGCCAGGTATGAGCTGGCAGTGACGGGGCAACTGAAACCTCATGGGAAAGGGACCGTTCCCGGCTCATCCTTCACGCCCTACTGAGGTCACGAGTTGCCCACCATGAGCGGCTCTCCGGCATGGCCAGGCTCCAGAGCCACAGAAACCAATCTCGTAATTATCTGGCTCTTGGCAGAAATCCCTCCAGGCTTAATAAGTAAAATATCAGAAATCCAAAACCACGCAGCCGCTATTGCGGCCGTGTGACATCATATGATTCTCATAACTAACTGTAGAAAACACACTATTTCACAATGCCTTTTCAGCAGTTCTGATTGTTGGGTGTAAACTCTAAACAATAATGGTGCATCTTTTGTAGAAATAATGAATGTAATCAAAGTAGATAGAGTGTTAAGCAGAATTCATCTGCCTCACAGGCTTTGGGAGGGGTGGGAGGGGGGTATATTGGGGTTCTTGGTGACAAAAAGTAAGTACTGGTGAAGGGAAATGTGTTTGATCATTGCATGACCGAGACTTAAACCTGAAAGCTTTGTAACTTTTCCCACAGTGATTCAATAAATAAATTTTAAAAAATGTTATTCGCAAATTACCAATACCTAATATTTCTGAGTCTTTCACTATTTCTAAAGATTACCTTCTTATTGGCCCAAATCTTGAAAATATTATCTCCAGATCCTCATCTGTAGTGACTGGGTTTAATTTACACACAAATAGGACATTTTCTGGAGGTTTAATGTCTGCATCTGGTAGGTCTCCCACCTAAAATAAATAAGAACATTAAGTCAATCCCTTCATTTAGTTCCTATTCTAAATACCATGTTCAAGTCTACAATACTGATTTCCCCCCAAATATCTAATTTACATTAGACACCTTAAGCTCGGGAAAAGAAATCTAAGAAAGAATTCCAAATTCAAAGTTTTACTGTCCTGGCAGTAACAGTAACAGTATTAATAGCTAATATTTACTGGTCTCTTTTGTGTGACCATCATGACTGGCACCTCATAGACCTCATTGCAAATTCTTTAAATGTCTCACCAAGTTAAGAGCAGCTGCCTAGCATGCACCTGACCCAGGTCAACCCCAGGCACCAGCATCAGCATCATTAGGTAAACCTTGGCCCCTGAGCACTCACCAAGCTGGCCCTGAGCACCTCTGAGTACAAGAACCGAACCATCTGTACAGCTGGTCTAAACACCCGCCCCTCCCTCTCCTAAAAATTACAAAGATATGGGGCTGGAGCGATAGCACAGCAGGTAGGGCATTTGCCTTGCATGCGGCCAACCCAGGTTCGATTCCCATATGGTCCCCTGAGCACCGCCAGGAGTAATTCCTGAGAGCATGAGCCAGGAGTAACCCCTGAGCATCACCGGGTGTGACCCAAAAAGAAAAACAAAAAACAAAAAAAAAAACAAAGATAAGCAAAACTCAAGGCAATTAATCACTGCGCCACCTGGTTAAAAGTTTAACTCCAGTTACATTACCCCATTAAAAATTCTGGACTTCCTAGACATCTCCATACTCTACAACAGTGATTATACAGAAGCAGCAGGCCAGACTGGATGGGATGTAAAGTAAAAGGCAACCAATCACAATTAACAAAACATAAACAAAAAGTTTAACCTGTAACATCTTAGTAATCTCTTAGACAAGGTCTTAATTTCTCCATGGTGAGACACAACAGTTTATACTAATTTTCTTCTAAGGAAACATTTTTTGATCATTCTGTTAGCTAATTATTGGTAACAAACGATATAGAATAAATTACTGAGGACCTGCTATGAGGGCAGGCTTACAGGGTGGGTGGGAAAAATGGGAGACAATGGTAGAGAAATGGTGTTATAGTGTTGGGACAGGTGTTGGAATATTGAATGCCTGTAAAAAATCATCATGAACAATTTTGTTAACCGCAGTGTTTATATAAAGTATAGGGGGGAAATTTATATATGTAGGCCTTACCTATTTCATGTAAACTCTATAATGTATTAACATAGATTTGCTTTAAAAGTTTTATTAATGACAGGTGAGACATGATTTCTGCCATAATGAGATCCAAATAGAACATAAAATTTAATGAAATATACTTTAGATTCCTGAGTTGAAACCATTATGTAAATGAAAATAGGCATTTTATATTGTATTAAATGGTTTTAATTTTATTTACATAGGTCAAAATCATACAGTAATCACAGACTGGCTTTTAATGATTTAGTATCTGAACATTCTATTTGCCATTTCTTAAAAGTTTTGTTGGAATAAGCAAAATAAAGTAAATTTGTTATGTGCCTCATGGGACATGGATGGGATTAGGAGAAAAACTGGGAATATTGGTGAAGGGAAGGTCAGAGTAGTGGTGTTGGAATACTAAATGAAACAACTTTATAATGAACTACTTTGTAAGTTACGGTGTTTTTAATAAAAATTAATTTTAAAAATTAAAAATTAATTTAAAAATTCAATTGCATAAATACTTAAAAATTATACGAATAGGGGCGAGAGTGATAGTTCAGCAGGTAGGGCGTTTGCTTTGCATATGGCCAACCTGGGTTCAATCCCCAGCCTCCCCCAAGCACTGCCAGGAGTAATTCCTGAGTGCAGAGCAAGAGAAACCCCTGAGCATCACTCGGTGTGACCCAAAAAGCAAAAACAAAAAAAAGTTATATTAATATAAACAATTGCAAAACAAACCAAAAAAGGGAAAAACAATTGCAACTCAGTTCATAAATTTTTTTAAGCCCCCTTTTATTTTCAGCTGTAGTGCAAGAGAAATTTAATTTCTTTATTTTATAATAGTACATGTTTTGGGAGCTGGAACAATAGCACAGCGGGTAGGGCATTTGCCTTGCACGTGGCCGACCGGGTTCGATTCCCAGCATCCCATATGGTCCCCAGCACCGCCAGGAGTAATTTCTGAGTGAAGAGCCAGGAGTAACCCCTGTGTATTGCCCGGTGTGACTGCCCCCCCGAAAAAAAGCAAAAAAAAAAAAAGAGTATATGTTTTTCTCCTAACAAATAAAAGACACACCTTCTATGTTGGCACTTATATAACACTGTCATTTTCATATTCTTAAAAATTCACTATCTTTGTAGAAACTGCTATATACTTTTAAAAGTTATCTTTCTGAAACATTCTCTCAGAGAGTTATACACTGCCACTTAGAAATATGCAAGAAATGTTAGGAATTTTGAACATGAGCACTAGCTGTCAGTAAATCTTGGGTAATACACATAATTCCTTCTAAAAATGAGACTGTTGGTTATTTTCAATTTTTTTAATGAATCACATGTGTATCCTTTTACTCACTCTCAGCACTCAATTTTTGTCCAGAGTGGTCATTTCCAACTATCACTGTCATAGTGGTCCCTTCTCTTTCCTAACTGCACCCCTCTACTTGTGGCAAGCTTCCAACAGTGGACCAGTCCTCCTGGCCCTTGTTTCTACTGTTCTTAGATATTAGTCTCAGATTGTTTTTTTAATATCCTACAAATGAGTGCAATCATTCTATATCTGCCCCTCTCCTTCTGACTGATTTCATTCAGCATGATATTCTCCAAGTCGATCCATTTATAAGCAAATTTTATGACTGGAGCGATAGCACAGTGGTAGGGCGTTCGCCTTACAAGCGGCCAACATGGCCGACCCGAGTTCGATTCCTCCGCCCCTCTCGGAGAGCCCGGGAAGCTACCGAGAGTATGCAATATGCCAAACACAGTAACAACAAAGTCTCCAATGGAGATGTTACTGGGCCCGCTTGAGCAAATCGACGATCAACGGGAGGGCCTTTACCTTTACCTTTTACCATTTTTTTCTAGTGTCTGTATAGTATTCCATTGAGTAGATAATACCATAGTTTCTTTATTCAGTCGTCTGTTCTTGAACACTCAGGTTGTTTTCCAGATTCTGGCTACTGTTAAACCCTATTTTCCAAAAGAGCATTGGAACTATCTAGAATTCATTTTTTACACTATATAAAATCTAATCCAGACAACTTAGCTTTTTAACATTTTAAGGTTGTCAAAGACTGAACACTAGCTCACAGTGAATAAGCTTTAAATACTTGCAAATAGGGCCAGGCAATCTCTCTGATAGAGGGTACCGCATGGAGTTGCAAGCACTACAGGGGTACAGTGGCTCCCAGAACCCAGGAGTGAAGACTCCTTCCCACCCACCAGCCAAAAGAAAACAAAAAAACAAAACAAAAAAAAAACTGAAGATGTTGCAAAAATTTGAACAAAAGATAAATTATTTTACCATTTCTAACAGAATAGCTTGAGTTTTGGCCTCTTTTTCTGCCTTTATTTCTTCTACTTCTTCAGCTGATCTTCCTTTGAAATCATCGATTTCTTCATCTGCTCCAATTCGCCCACTCTATAAGGCAGAATTTAGAGAAATATAATTAAAAAATATTTCTTTAATATAAATTTAAAGAATAAAACCTAAGGGGGCAGAGATGTAGTTCAGCAATAGAGAACTTTCCCCACATATGTGAGAACCTTCTGGTTCGATCAGTCACCAAAAATAAACACATAAATCCACACACAAGGAAGACATACTTTAGTCTTAACTCCATCAAATGTATTAAGACTAGCATGAAAAACAAACTAAATGCTCTGAAAAATAGTAAAGGAGATAAGGCGCCCATACAGCATGCCACCAGCTCTGGTTCAATTCCCAGCAGCACATGTGTTTCCAAACACTGCCAGAAGTGACCCAAAATCCAAAATGAAACAAATAAAATCAAAACTCTAAAAATTGATTTCAGGTAGTTAGTATTAGTCCAGTTGATTTTATAAAAATTAAAATGAATGTACAGAAATTAGACCATTAAATACTACTTAAATGCAGAAGATAAGTGATCTTAGCAAATAAGTAACAGATCCCACCATGCTTGTTTTGATACATATTCCCTACTACAAAGCTAAATTTGGTTAGCAAACATTTAACCTTAAAATATGGAGGGAGGCTGGAGAAAGAGCTCAAGGTTGGCTGAGTACAGGCTTTGCATGCAGGAGGCCCAGTTTCAACCCAGCACTGCGTGGTCCCCTAAGCACTGTTAGGAGAGACTCCCAAGCACTGAGTCGGGGGGGTAGCCACTGAGCATTGTTAGGTACAGCATGGGAGGGAGAGAGAGAGAGAGAGAGAGAGAGAGAGAGAGAGAGAGAAAGAGAGAGAGAGAGAGAGAGAGGGGAACATTTCCAAGGTGTTCATAAAGCTTCAAGACCAAAGTCTATGAAAAAATGAGTATCTCTCTAACACAAAACTTATTCTAGTAAAAATGATAATGATAATTATAAACAGTATAACCATTCAAAAGAAATGTTTTAAGAAGTTGAATCTGGGGCTGGAGAGGTAGTAGGGGTGAAGGCGTTTGTTTGCATGAGGCTGATCCCAGTTTGATTCCCAGCACCATGGGTGGTCTCACTGATCACCAGCAGGAGCGATCCCTGAGCACAGGGGTAACCATAGAGAACAGCACTAGACATGGCCCCAAAGCCCCCAAAATTAAATAAAAAAGAAACAAACAGAATCTATATAAAATATCAATATTCATGTACATTACATGAAAAGAGAACCCGACTTACATCTAGCTGCTCCCTTGTAGGCTCTGGTGATCGATCAGGAATTAATAAATCAGGAGGGTCATCAAACGGATCATCTAAAATCACTGTATGATTTATCCTTACAAAAGAAATCCAAGTCAAACATTACTTTCAAGTTATTTCAGATTTTGTAAAGATTGTAATGTATGTCTTAAGTCTTTGCAATGCCAAAAGAAATGAGTTCTTTACTGCATAAGAATGTTATCAGAGCAAATAAAAAAAAATTAAAGGATTGAAAAAAAAGAATTTTACTAGAGTACTGGTGCTACTGGCTTTTGTAGTATTTATTACTCTGCATTACTAAGACATAACAAATTTCTTAGTACATTTTTCCAAACTGCTCAATAATCTATATTTTTTAAATGACTGAAAAATCAGTAATTCCTCCCAAAATAAGTATAGATAATTTGTAGAAGTATAAAAAAAACGAAAATTTTTTAGGATTCTAACAATCCTTTATTGCATTTTAGAATTATGCAGTATCTAATTCTATTGTATGCTGTCACTCAGGTGAGACGGAGTTCAACACATTCCATAAAACGCAAACACTTTTGTAACCACACCTGATATCCTGATAAGGTACGAAGTCCTTGTCAACAAAGGTCTCATTAATTTTCTTAATTATATCCATGCCTTCTGTCACTTCTCCAAACACTGTATGAACACCATCAAGGTAATCTAGATTATCTCCTGTGGTAATAAGGAACTATATAAAAAGACAAAGAATTTTAAATACATAAATATAATTCAAAGTGCAATCAATTTATCTTGTTTAATCTTCAAATAATCCCAGAGAGGGGCCAGAGAGAGAGAGTACAAAGAGAATACAGAGAGAATAAGGCACTTGTCTTCCATGCAGATAACTCAGTTCAATCCCCCACACCTCATGTGGTCTCCCAAGTCCACCAGGAATAATTCCTGAGCATAGAGACAGGAGTAATCCTGAGCACAAAAAAAAAGGAATAAACCCTGAGCACAGCCAGGTGTGGCCAAAAAACAAAAAAAAAAAAAAAAAAAATTTTAAATTTTAAAACATACAAACAAACAACACTGGGGAGACGAATGTGGATAAGGCTCTTGCTTTACAGTGCATATGGTCCCGTGAACATCATATGGTCCCTGAGCATCACCAGGAATGATCCCTGACCACAGAGTTAAGACTTAATTCCTGAGTACAGCTGTTGTGACCCCAAAACAATAAAACAAAAAATATATATAAATAAAAAGAAATAACTTTGGGAAATAGGACAGGGTATAAGGCTCTTGCCCAGCACAATGCCTACTCCAGTTCGATCCCCTGAACCCTATTAAAGTGATGCCTGAGCAGACCCAAGAGTATGCCCTGAGCATGACCAGCTATAGCCCAAACCCTCACCCCCACCCCGCCACTGAAAAAGCAGCAACTTTGGGAGTTCCTCCCATATCAATTTAATTCAAAACTCATCTTTTCACCTATTTCCTAACCTGTGATCCATGTTGATCACTGCCATTGTTCACCATTGATACCGTGCCTTTCTTCTTGTGCTTAATTCTTGGCACTTTCTCCACCTCAAAAAAGCTTGCTTGATCACCATACAATTGACTGAAAGCACATATTATGAAAGATTATAAAAAGAGAAGTAGTCTCAAAATAAAATATAAAAATACTAACTAAAGACTCTTCACAGAAATGCCACTATGATTCAAAATACATTTTTGGCTATAGTTAGAAAATGTGTGAGGAAATTTTATATTTAATACATATTTTAAAATGAAAATGAAAATATGCCATTAACAATGTTAAGAAGCTATTTAAATTTTAGTCCATTAAAAAAATAAAATATAACAATAAATAAGCAAAATTAAAAAACTTACCCAAAAACAGACTCTCCTCCTCGGCCAGTGCCTGTAGGATCTCCAGTTTGTATAATAAAATCCCTCTATAATATATAGAATACTTTATTCAGAATTTGGTCAATGGTTTCAATTTTTTTAAAAGATATAACTAGTACATACCAACTCACCTGTACATTGTGAATAAGGCAATAATTATAATATTTTATTTTGCACAACTTCAGAAAGTTCAAGCAAGCTGAAAAAGAAGTAAACACTAAATTTATCATGGTGGTTTACAAAACTTTTTCAAGTCAAAGCAGTTATCATAATCTAATTTCTAAAATCACCAAAAAAAAAAAAACCCGTACAATAATAGCCAAATACTCAAAACCATGCAAAAGGGAAAATGTCTTTAAAAAGACAAAATGCATTAAAGTATATTTTTGATCTCTTTTTTCCATATTTCCAAAGCATTTGTATTCATGGAGATTATACACATAATCAGGGAATAAACAACTGTTAATTAGTAGACTGGTTATGTAAGAAGAAAAAGTAAAGAGGATGTGAAAGAACCCAGAGATCTAAGGTGTGTACAAATTATATTAAATTAGAAAACAAACTGGGAGCCATTTTAGTTCCCATTGTGATTAAATGGTCCCTTACCAAAAATCCATCCCCTTACTAGGTACCAGTTTTCTTAGATACATTCGAACCAATAAACACTGAGCATTTTCTAGGTGCTTGTAACTGGTACACAAACGTGGTCCCTTCCCTCTAAGAAATTTATCATCTAGTTGTGAAGAAACAGTCTTACCAGTTCTAAAAGTAAAATAGAAATCAGAAAGACAACGATATGTAGGTTATCCCTGCTCTTAAGGAATTTTTATTAAACTGGCTCTCTATACCAAGGCACAAGCAGTTTCAATACTGGACATATCTGATAATACTGTTTCTGCTACCCAAGAAGTAAAATGGTAAAAGTAGTTCTTCATATGCCACAAGGTGAGATGAGGAAGTGGAGCAACAGCACAGCAGGTAGGGAGCCTGCCTTGCACATGTCTGATCTGGATTTGAACCCTGGTACCATATATGATCCCCTGAGCCCTAAAGAAGTAATCCCTGAACACTGAGCCAGAAGTAAGCCCTGAGTACTGCCCGGTATGGCATCTAAACCAAAAAACATAGTGGGGAAAAAAAAAGGTAAAATGCCACAAGGGGCTAGAGAGAGAGTCCAACCGATGGCAGTACATGATTTGTGTGCAGGAAACATGAGTTCAATCCCTGGCACCGAATGGTTCCAAAGCACAGCAGAGAGTGACCCCTTCAGGCCAAGCCAGGAGTAGCCTCTAAGCACAGAGCAAGTAGCCTGAAACACAAAACAAATTAAAAATAAAATGCCACAGGGTTCAAAGCAGAGAACTGTTGTTTCTGGCCAGGGAAATAAAAAGATCTCGTAGAGATTTTAAAGAAGTAGAGATCTCGTAGAGATTTAAAATAAGTGGATTAAGGTCTGAGAAAGTACCCAGGGTTTGATCCCCAGCACTGTATGGTGCCACGCGCACCATAGGACAGAGTTGGGACTCCCCCTAATTTTACAGAGCCTGGAGGCATCTGGAGAGACTGTCAATGGGGTGAACACAAGTTTTGCCTGCAGGAGGCCCAGGTTTAATCTCCAGCACCACATGGTCCCCTAGACAACCCCAGGGAGCACAAAGCCAGGAAGAAGGCTCCCCTCCCCCCAAAAAAGGCCTTCAAGAGTTAAAATATTACTTACAAGGGTAAAAACGATCTATTTTTAATATTACTCTGGCAATACAGACGAACAGTAGATAAAAAGTGAGGGGGAGAGCTGAGCAATAGTGCCCTGGCACCCCATATGGTCTACCACCAGAAGTGAGTCAAAACCCAAAACAAAACAAAACACACACACACACACACACACACACACACACACAATTGAAAAGGCCAAACTGTAAGAAAAGCTTGAATATCACACTTTTCACTGTTTTTCTAGACCAAGATTTTTTTTACTTGCTTTGTTATTATTAAACATATACTAGTTCTTTTACTAGGAAGCAAAACTAATAGATCTAGGCAATAATAACAAATGGTAGTCAAATTTTTGAATGAACAGTTTGAGCCCATTAATTCTAACATCTTAAAAGTAAAATTCAAAGGTAATGTTGTTAAAAATATAAAATACCGCATATTAAATATTTTTGCAAAGAAGAAAACAAATAGAAGAAACAGAACTTAACATATTGTTGAGTCAAAAAAGATATTACAGATCAAATTAGAGGGACGGCAGTAATAGGACAGTGCAGTGGGCATTTGCCTTGCGTGTCCGACCAGGGTTCGATCCCCGGCATCCCACAGGGTCCCCCAAACTAGGAATGATTCCTGAGTGCAGAATCAAGAGTAAGCCCTGAGCATCACCAGGCGTGGGTCCAACAAACAAACATAAAGATCAAATTACAGATCAAAAAGATATTACAGATCAAATTCAGAATGACTGATAAATTGGCCGAGATTCTGTCCCACCAACTTTCAAGGAGGAAAAAAAAAAGGGTGGGAGACTATATATTCAAAGATATTTAGGGGCCAGAGAGTTAAATACAGAGGGCAAGGCACTTGGATTTGATCCCCAGCACCCCATATGGTCCCCTGAGCACTGCAAGGAGTAATTTAGCGCAGAGCCAGGAGTAATCCCTTGAACATCACTGGGTGTACCCCCCAAAAAATAAACCAAACACAAAAAAACTTTTTTTTTTTTTTTTGCTTTTTGAGTCACACCCAGCAGTACCCAGGGGTTACTCCTGGCTCTGCGCTCAGGAATTATCCCAGCGGAGCTCAGGGGAACATATGGGATGCTGGGAATCGTACACGGGTCGGCCGCATACAAGGCAAATGCCCGACCCGCTGTGCTACTGCTCCAGCCCCCACAAAAAAACTTTTTAAAAAATAAACTAGGGGCTGGAACGATAGCACAGTGGGTATGGCATTTGCCTTGCACACGGCCAACCCAGGTTTGATTCCCAGCATCCCTTATGGTCCCCTAAGCACCACCAGGAAACCCGGATGTGATCCAAAAAGTAAAAAATAAATAAAAAGGTATTTGTTAGCTATATCAATCAATACAACTTTATCTTGGGAATTTGTCTTTGGGGGGTCGGATGTGAAGTTGGACCACACCAGGTGGCGCTGAGGTGTCAATCCCAGTGAAGCATGAGGGCCCGTATGGTACCAGGGATTGAACCCGGGTCTCCTACATGCAGAGCATGTGCTTAGTCCTTTACGCTATCTTTCCAGCCCTTCTGTAGCAGTTTCTTGTAGAACTAGACACAGTCCTAATGCAAAACCCTGCAACCAGACCCACGTGCATGCTAAACCCTGCATATTAAACCTTAGGGTTAATAGCAGCTTTAATTAAATTACCAAAATTAAGAAGCAATCAAGAGGCCCTTTAGTAAGTCAATGGATCTTAAATGCTTAAATTAAATAAACCAATGAGAAAAGACTACCTAAAGTTTGATTCCATCTGGTAGGATAACATTCTGGAAAAGGAAAATCTAGAAATTGTAAGAGATCCATGGTTGGCAAGAACTATGGTGGAATCGGCTTTAGGAAACCCCTCACATAATCTGAGAGTTTCCCTGCCTTACTCTCCCCCTTCCTTTCTGTTTCCCTAAAGTCTTACTGAAAAACAAAAATAATTTTAAGGAAAGAAATTACAGCATGAGCCTATCTATAATGGTGAACACAAGTCAGCATACATTTGTCCGAAACCACAGAACGGATACCAGGAATGTACTCTAGGCCAGGAGAGGCTGAGAGGCAGAGAATATGCCTAGCCTATAAGAGGCCCTGGATTCGATTCCCCTGGCACAGCTAAACAAAAGCACAAACAAACAAAAGTCACCGCTAATAATAACTATGAACTTTGGGTGATCAGGACATGTCAATCCAAGCTCATCAAATGTGCCACTGAGAAAAAATATGTATCACTGAGTACTAATACTCAACGTTCTAATGTTCAATGTACAAACATTCATTGTACTGTTCAACTGGTAAGTTAGAAATGTATAACAAAGTTATCACCGTGATAGGGAAATTAGATAAAATAAGACACACTGTGCATGTGTGAAGGTAAACGAAAAATCTACACTTTCCCCTTGGTTTTACTATGAAATTTAATTTCGTAGTATATATTGACAGACAATATATGACTTTTGCTGGGAAATGGACCAAATGGAGCAACTGCTTTGCATATGGGGTCCTGGCGGTAGTGCTCCAAGGTCCTTCAAGTCTGAGAAACAGAAAAGACACCTTTCCCAAAAACCAGCACTGTGCCAGATGCAGCCACTGAGTACAGCCTGGTGGGGCCCCAAAACAATAAAATAAAATAACTGCTGGGATAAGGCTCATTGATAAAGTGTCTTTTTACATGCATGAGACCTTGGTTCAATCCCTAGGCTGCCAAAAAATAAGGTATATCAAATATGTTGAATTTATGATAATAGAAAATGTGAAAATATTTGGAAATCACTGCTAATTTTTTCAAATGTGAATGATTTTTGGCAACTTTTAAAAGTATCTTTTAGGGGCTGGAGCATTGCACAGCAAGCAGGGGGTTTGCCTTACACACAGTTGACCTGGGGTCTATTCCCAGCATCCCATATGGTCCCCGGAGCACCGCCAGGATTAATTCCTGAGTGCATGAGCCAGGAGTAACTTCTGTGATCACTGGGTAAGATGCAAAAAATAAATAAAAGTATCTTTTAAAGCTATAGATTGAAATAACTACTTATTAGTTAAATCCCTCTTAAGGAATTAACAAAACTTTGACAGAGGCAGAGACATCAACAAAACAATGACATCTATGTGCAAAACAACTGGGGTGTTTGTGGGGAGGGAGGGAGGGAGGGAGGGAGGGAGGGAGGGAGGGAGAAAAGGGGAGAGAGCCACATCTAGCAGTACTCAGGGATAGCTGTCCTGGTTCTTTGCTGAGGGGTCACTCCTGGTAATGTCTAAGGACCATATGTAGTACCTGGGATCAAACTGATGTTGGTATGCACAAGGAAAGTGCCTTAACCCCTATACCATCTCTGCACCGACAACTATTAAAACAAAACTGGTGATTCACACATTAAGGTTCATCTGCCTCCTACTATTTCTGTGTATGCTTTTAAGTTTTATATAATAAATAGTAAGGGAAAAGAAGGAACAAAGTCTTTTTACTTTTTACTGATTAAGTAGTTATATACACCATCAAACCACCCTCCCGTTGTTCATTGATTTTCTCGAGCGGGCCCAGTAACGTCTCCATTGTGAGACTTTGTTGTTACTGTGTTTGGCATATCGAATATGTCACCGGTAGCTTGCCAGGCTCTGCCGTGCGGACGAGATACTCTCGGTAGCTTGCCGGGCTCTCCGAGAGGGGCAGAGGAATCGAACTTGGGTCGGCCATGTTGGCTGCGTGCAAGGCAAACGCCCTGCCGCTGTGCTATGGCTCCAGCTAGAAAACCAATCCCAAGGTTGAAGCAAGAGCAGAGTGGGGAGGGCGTTACATGCATACAGCCAACCTCAGTACGGTCTGCGGGTTGGCTGCATATGATCCCCATATGATCCTCTGAGCACCGCCTAGAGTCATTCCTGAGTGTACAGCCAGGAGTAACCCCTGAGCATCGCCAGATGTGACCCAAAAAGCGTAAAGAAGGAAAGAAAGAGAGAAAGAAAAAGAAAGAAAGCCAATCCCATACTGATAAATATATTCAACACTATCTTTAGTATTGCAAGCTATACTGCTAATCCATTCTGTGCTTGCTAGCTGCAAGTCTCCAGTCTCCTGTTAGTTCCTTAACCTCTGAGGAAATGGCCCACTCATTTGCTAGCTGCAGCTCCACAGAAGAGAATATAACAGGAAACAACACAATCAAAGCAAAATACAAAACAACAAAGAATACAAAATCTGCAGCATACTTTGAGTCTCTGGATTCCACCATCCTTGAAACCAAGCTTTCTTCAGTAACACAAAGCAATCTATTTTATTTACTGTTAAGGTGAGTTTCTATGACCCACACAGGACTCTAAGACAACAACCACACATGCACATATATGCAGAGTCTTGTGTGTACCCTGCAAGCGGTAGCAATGCACGAGGGTGCTCAGGATATACAGAGACCAGAAACACAGTTCCTTGCCTTCTTGGAATGTACATTCTTGAGGAGACAAGATTCGCAAGGAACTTCAGAAAGGGGCTGAAGAGATCGCTCAAAGAGGGAACGCAGGAGCCCTGGGTTCATTCCCGGGCAAGATCCCAGGCGTACTGCACCGGGAGTAGCGACACACACGCCCACTTCTGGGTGAGAAAAGAAAAGTGGGGTAGAGGCAACAACAGTACGAGAGGCGCTGTCTCGGCGGGGACAGGGCTTGCAGCAAGAAAAGAGGCACAAAGTTTCTTGCATATATCAATAAACTGCATTCCATAGCAGCACGCTCAGGATTGCAACAAATCTCTCCAGCAATCCCGTTTCCCAGTCGATACATTCGCCACTCAGCGGCCAACGACCTTCAAAAAAGAAAACCCAATGGGGCTGGAGCGACAGCACAGCGGATAGGGCGTTTGCCTGGAACGCGGCCGGCCCCGGGTTCGATTCCCAGCATCCCATAGGGTCCCCCAAGTACCACCAGGAGTAATTCCTGAGTGCAAAGCCAGGAATAACCCCCAGGCCCCATGCATCGCCGGGTGTAACCCAAAAAGGAAAGAAAAAAAAAAAAACGATCTCCAGGCCTCAAAATCCTGCATTCTACACGTAAAGCCTTAGCAAGACTCTGGTGCACAGCAGGTCATACAAGAACTACTCCAGATTGTAACGTAACAGGGAACAGACTCCCTGTCGGCACCTTCCACCGAACGGGGTCGTTCCTCCAAACCACGACCAACGACCTGGCTGCGGAAAACTTCCCAAAAAAAACTTCCAAACGAACTGTGAAGAAAAACCCCTCGCCCCACCCCGCCTTCCAAGGAACGAATTCAAGGGTCCAGCACTCTCCGCTTGCTCGCTCCGCTCCTCCGAGCCCCCCAGAGCCCCGACTAGCTCCTCCGTTTCCATAGCAACGCACTTTCCAACACCGCTAGGACGTTCAAAAGGGTTCTGGTGTCTCCTGCCTCCCCTCCCCCAAAAGGGGAGAAAAAAAAAAACCCAAACCCACGAGGGCAAGACGCCTGCGGATGCACTGACAACACCAAGACCCCCTCCCCCATCAAGGACCTCGACCCAAGGGGTGGGCACCAAAAAAGGCGTGCAGACAAATCGACGGCGCTTTTGCTGGAGTTCGGTGCACGCCGCAGGGCAGCCCTTCCTCCACGCACAATTCCCCGGCTTCCCCGAAGGTTGTCACCCACCCGGGCGTCCCCCACCCGTCCAGCCCCCCGTGGCTCCGCGCCCGGGTGACGCGCAGGAAAAAAGCACAAAGGCGACAGCCCCGCGTGCCTGCAGGCTACACGCCGTGCCCGAAGCCCTGGGGGACGACCGGTACCCGGATCCTCGGGAGAACCTCCCCAACCCCGAGGTCCGCTCCAGACACGGCCCCGCCGCGGCCCCCCGGGGCCACCACGGGGTCGACGCCGGGACCCCCGAGCGAAAAGGGAAATGAAGAAGCGCGCGGCCGCGGCGACGGAGCGCGGCCGGGTCGGGCCTCACCGCGAGGCCGCTCCTCGGTGTACAAGTCGATGACGACGTCGCCCAAAGTGGTCTCCAGAAGAACCGCCATGGCGCCCGCTCCTCCTCCTCCTCCTCCTCCTCCTCCTCTACCTCCTACTCAAGCTCCACCGCCGCAGCAAGCCTGGAGGTGACAGGCACAGCCCGACGACCGCCGCGGCGCGCGTCACTTCCGGCGCGACGCCTCTACGTCATCGCCCCCGCGACACCGCCCCTTCCGCTCGGCTCGCTTCCGGAAGAGGGGGGCGGCGCCCGGGCCGCTGTGTGGGGCTGTGAAGTCCCTCTTGGCGCTTGGGTGCCGGTGGTGTAGGGAGCCTTGTGGTTCAGCCGGGTCTGGGCGAAGGGTTTTGGTCCCTGTTTGGGACGCGGCTCTGGAATCCGCGCCCCTTTTCTGCTTGTCTGGAGCCCGGGTGCGATCCCGGCTCCACCGACTTCCGCCCCCCTCTCCCCGCCCCCTCCCCGGGACTCTGCGCCTTTCTTGCCCCTAAATCGGCTTCTAATTCGCCTTTGTGGGGGCGGGAGCGATAGCACATCGGGGAGGGCGTTTGCCTTAAGGCACGCGGTCGACCCGGGTTTGATTCCCAGCATCCCATATGGTCTCCCGAGCACCACCAGGAGTAATTCCTGAGTGCAGAGCCAGGAGTAACCCCTGTGCATTGCTGGGTGTGACCCAAAAAGCAAAAAAAAAAAAAAAAAAAACTTAGCCTTTGAGGGCCGGAGCGGTAATGCAGCGAGTCAGATGCTTGCCTTGCACCGGGCGTCCCGGGTTCTGCCCCCCACCCCCAACCCACCAGGAATGATTCCAGCCAGGAGCGGTCCAAAACCAAAAAGATTAGCCTTTAAACGTCCAAAAGATGGTTAACAGGAACGTCTTTACAGGTATATGGGTGACTATCATCAGCTATAAACAGACTAACCCCAAATTTCTACTGATTTTACCTTTGATCAATGGAAAATGGATCTTGCCTTCTGTTGTGGATTTTTTCCATGCAACATTTATTCCACTTTTATTCCACCAAACTGATAACTTTTTCCGATCATTTTATACATGCTTATAAGCATCAGTAACTTCATTTCCCACGAGAATGGGCGTTTTAAAGCTGCACAAAACCTTACGTGGCATTATGTCACTCCTTTTGCCTGTCATCATTCTTATTCTTATTCCTGAAGCTGTGCTAGGTACTTGTTCTTTGAGCACTACTGGCCCAGGGCCTTTGCATTGGTGTGGGCAGTCTGGAACCTTGTTCATCCGGTTATTGAGTCCCTTTGATCTTCAGTTCCCTTTCTCATGTCACACCTCCGAGAAGCCTTAACTGACAACCATTATTATCAAACCCACATATATACACTTACCTTTCTCATCAACCTTTTGCCACAGCGCTTTTAAACAACTAACATATTGACAGATTTTTTTTGTATAGAACTACTGAAATAACTCCTTAAGATCAAGTGTATTGAGTTTTTTTCCTTATTGCATAATGCCTTGACAGTGTCAAATAAAATATTGGTTGGGTGAATATTGGCAATTAAAAAACTGTTGATGGATATGCAAAATAAGACAGCTGCTTTGGGAGATGATTCATCAATTCCTACAAAGCTAAACATATTTAGCTATTTCACTCCTAGACATTTACCCAAATAAGTGGAAACACTCCATTATATAAATATTTAAAGCAACTCTAGTCATATTTGCAGAAACTTGGAAAGACCCAAAGTTTTATTTTGGGGGGTTACACCCTGCAGTTGCTCAAGGGTTACTCCTGGTTAGTTGCTCCAGAATCTCTCCCAGCATAGCTTAGAGAGCCATGTTGAACCAGGGCTCACTCATCTCTTAAGCCCAATATGGAATAAATTGTCTATCGTTAACTGTGTAATGAACTGTAAAAAACTAAACATGCTGAGGGTTGTGTGTTCGCAGGCTCTTCGGACAGCTCTATTTCACCGCCTGCATTCGGTGCCCTAGAGCCGCTGTGTGTGTCCTTGATACGGACGGGTGTTGGGCAAGGGCAGACGAAGGAAGAGACGAGGGCCAGGCTGGTTGATCTGTGTAGCAGTTTATTACAAGGAAGTTTATCCCATAGAAAAAATTTATGTTATGGAGGGCCTAGGTTCTCTCAGGCACATGTTCCCCTTGCTAGTCTCTCCGTGGTCCATCTTGCAGCTCTGTTCTCTCTCCAGCTCCCTTGTCTCTCCAACTCCCTTGCAGTCTGGGATGACACTCCCCCCAGTCAGGTAGCCAAATCAACATAAGAAAGCCATGCCTGGGGCTGGAGCGATAGCACAGCGGGTCGGGCGTTTGCCTTGCAAGTGCCCGACCAGGGTTCGATTCCCAGCATCCCATAAGGTCCCCTGAGCACCGCTAGGGGTGACTCCTGAGTGCAGAGCCAGGAGTAACCCCTGTGCGTCGCTGGGAGTGACCCAAAAAGCAAAAAAAAAAAAAAAAGCCATTCCTGAGGGCCACCTAAAAGGTATTCTAAAGCCCTTCCTGACTGCCCCAGGCAAAATATCTCCTAAGGTGTTTTTCTCTTTTCCACAGTCCAATAAACTATCAATAAACTATCAACTATCAACTATTCCTGAGGCTATGCAGAAAGGACAGAACAGTGTTATCCTACAATGGACTTTAAATGCTACATTGAGTACCTGCAATTTTACCAATTATCTGGCTGATAGCACAGCAGTAGGGTGTTTGCCGTGCACACAGTCAACATGGCCGACCCGAGTTCGATTCCTCCGCCCCTTTCGGAGAGCCTGGCAAGCTACCGAGAGTATCTCGCCTGCACAGCAGAGCCTGGCAAGCTCCCGTGATGTATTCAATATGCCAAACACAGTAACAACAAAGTCTCCAATGGAGACGTTACTGGGCCTGCTCCAGCGAAATCAAATACTCTATTTTCATATGGGGAAATATTTCATGGTTATTATGTAGTTTATATTTCAATACACTTCGGTTTTATTGTATAGCATAAATAAATATTCAAGCAGTTTGTAAAGTAAATATGTACATAAAAAAGAATAAAATGTCTATTTTACCAAAATTAAATGTTAAAGTAGATTTTATATATAGAACATGATTTCGAACTTTTTTTTTGCTTTTTTTTTGGGGTCACACCCGGCGCTGCTCAGGGGTTACTCCTGGCTCTGGACTCAGGAATGACTCCTGGCGGTGCCCGGGGGACCATATGGGATGCTGGGAATTGAACCTGGGTCGGCCTCGTGCAAGGCAAACACCCTACCCGCTGTGCTATCACTCCAGCCCCATGATTAGAACTTTTATATTGATTTCCAAATATTAAGACCAGCAACTGTCACAATTAATTTCTTATATGGACACATTTTTTGTTTGTATTTGGTTTTGGAAAGTAAGTCAGGGCTTACTCTTAGCTCTGTGCTCAGGGATCAGTCCTGGCAGGCTCACTGGACCCCACTAAAGGGAAGCCCGGATGGAACCCGGGCTGGCCTCGTGCAAGGCAAATGCCCTACCTGCTGTATCATTGTTCCAACCCAAATATATTGACATCTTGTGTATGATCTAACAACCACACCCTAATCTCTGTCGCTCAATTAAAATAATCACCAAACCTGCAGTCTTCTATGTAAGTGCATGTACAACCAAAACACACAAATGTATGCTCATATGTGATAGTAATGCAGGCATATGCAAGGCCAAGTCCAGTATGATTTCCTTCTTTCAAATACTACTCATTTTTCTTATTTTGGGGGGGAACACAGGATAATTATCCAAGCTAGAGTCTTGGGTGAGGGGGCTTACAAATGGCATTTCTCGGGGCTTACTTCTAGCTCTGCGCTCAGGATTCACTCTTAGTGGGAGATTATATGCTGTGTAAGCTGGGTCAATGGCTAGCAAGGCAAGTGCAGGACACGTGTACTGTTTCTGGGGCAACAGACTGGCATCTTAAGACAGAGGCTTTGTGAGCTAGATCCCCAAGGTCTGTTGCAAGAAACAACTCATCCAGTGAACCTTTTTTTTTTTTCTTTTTGGGTCATACCTGGCGATGCACAGGGGTTACTCCTGGCTCTGCACTCAGGAGTTACTCCTGGCAGTGCTCAGGGGACCATATGGGATGCTGGGAATCGAACCCGGATCGGCCAAGTGCAAGCTACCCACTGTGTTATCTCTCCAGCCCCCCAGTGAACCTTTCTTTACTGATAACTCACACTGTGGTGTGCTCACAATTCCAAATGATTTTCCAGACTTAGTAGCTTTTCTGCCCCAACTTATGACAGTCACAAGAAAAAAGCCTTGCTCGAAGAATTTTCTTTGTAATATTTCTTAACTGGTTTTATTTGTTTTGTATGAGCTCATCTGCAAAGTCACTGTGTATACTAACCACTTCCCCCTTTCCTAAGAGCCAGAGTATCTCCTGTGAGCGCTCATGCCCTTCAGAATCACGCTCACGATCACGACCATCCTGTTGTTCGTCGATTGCCTTGAGCAGGCCCCAGTAACGTCTCCTTCGTCCTAGCACTGGGATTTTTTTTTAAAAAGTGCCATATTCAAGGCTCCTTCAGGGTTAGGAGAATGAGACCCTTCATTGTTACTGGTATTTGGCATATTGGGTACGCCACGGGGAGTTTGCCAGACTCTGCCGTGTGGGCAGGTTACATTCGGTAGCCTGCCAGTTTGTCCAAAGTAAGAATGAGATAATAAGATGTCGCGCGGCCACGCACTTCCCGGAGCTGGGTTTTATAGTCTCTGGATCTTGGCCGCTGATGGGATTACACGGCGCCAGGGGGCCAGTTGGTGGGTGTGACCTTTGCCTACTGGAAGATGGAGGATCTGGGTGGTGGATGCTCAGCCCTGATCCGAGCAGGCTTGGAGATCTCATCCCCGGGACCCACATGCCTTTGTTCCTCTGCCAGTACCTTCATATGCACGTGGAGAGTGGTCTCAGCATGGTGGTGGCTGGTTCTGGGGGTCTTCGGCTGCCGGAGCTCTGGTCGGGGTGAGAGGGAAACTCAACCCACCAAGGGGCCCCGGCGAGGACAGCCAGACGCGGGGGCGGGAGAATAAACTTAATTTAATACTCACTTTCTCCATGGCCATTTCTACTTCTGCACCCCCCCCCAGGCTGTTATATTCCAATTTAACTTATTTGTTATAATCTGCTATAATATTATATAGT